CTTCCTGATCCTCAAGGCTGTCCTGCGGCTGGCATCGTGGAAGGAGAGGCTCAAGGTGTTCAGCACCTGCATTGCCCATATCTGCGTGGTCCTGGCCTTCTACGTGCCACTGATCGGGCTGTCAGTGGTGCACCGGTTTGGGAAGGATCTGGCCCCGCTGGTCCATATCATCATGGGGTACATCTACATCCTTGTGCCAGCTGTGCTCAACCCCATCATCTACGGGGTGAGGACTAAAGAGATACAGAGGAGGATCCTAAATTTCATTCACATACACAACAACAGAACTGCCCAGTGACTTGTGCTTGGATGTTGTGTCCTGTTCCCACTCACTGTCTCAACTTGTTTTACACTCAGAGTCCTTGGAGCTGGGGCTGTCCTCTGTGCAGCACTCAGCACACTGTAGGATCCTCTAAGGTGCTATCGCAGGGTAAAAGGAAAATAACAGCTGCAAACTGCTTCCAAGAGTGCTTACTCCACCAAACCTGGAGTGAGTCTACCATGATGATCCAAATCCAACCCTGATCCAGCAGATATGGGAAGGAAAAAATGTCTCAGCAAACTAACAGTGTCTTGACACTGCAATTCTTTGTCCCCATCTCCTCTCTAATTTGCACAGCTGAGTGAATGCCACAGTCGTTCCTGAATGATTTAGATAATTCATGGGTTTTGCTCGTGATGTGCTCACTGTCCAAAAACATTTTAGCAAAGTTTTTGGCTAACATTTATTTTTAAGTGAAATAATTGCGGGTAACCTTAAAGGTGCAGAAATGCACTTTAAAAGTGCTCCACCTCTATAGTCCTGTTCTGATCTACTGGGTGTCCAGTTAACACAGCTCTGACCCCTCACAGCTCACAGCTATTGACAGGGGTTGTGAAAATAATTTTCATTTATAATTATATTCTGGAAAACCAGCCTCTCAAGAGAGAAATGAGGAAGTTGTAAATGTGAGGGATCGTCCCCAGCTGAACGAATCACTGTTTCCTAGTGGAAGGTGTTTCATTCTTTGACTTCACACGTGTATGAATTTCCAAATGAGCTCAAGATCTCCACCTTCCAGATTTTTCTTACAATTCCAAGGTATTCTGCATTAAATCAGAATATCTCATAGCCTCTCCTCCCAAGAGTCTCACAACTCTTCTTTCAGTGGGAAGCTATAAAACTCTTTAAATGTGATGGAAGCCTTCAAGTCTTGGGGCCAATGAAGGTGTGAAAGATGATGCAGATGATTTTGTGGTTTGAAGTGCATTTGTTTTGACCTTCACCAATCCACAGGCACATACTTAGAAATGTAGCTTACCAACAATGTTTTTCTGGAGAATAGAAAAGAAAAAAAGAACAATGTACAAGACATTTTTCACTGACATCATCTCATAATTTGGAAAAAGGTTAAAGACCTTGGGAAGGGATGTTGTGTCATTGGACTTGCAATGAAGCACACCGATTTAAAGATGTTCTCATATCTTTTCTTTCCCCAGTCCATTGAAAATCTTGATGTACTTTGTCTTTACAAAAATGATTTCTTCTTCGTAAACAGAAAAAGATCCAAGCAATCCTTTCTTTTCCCTCTTGGCTTAAACTCTCGCCTTGTTGCTTGTTGGCTATTTTAAACTGTGCTCTCCATCCCCGAGGTAGCTGTGGAGTCTCCCTCCTTGGAGATCTTCAGAAGCCATCTGGGCTGCATTGCCAGGGGAAGGAATGCGTTTGCTGTTCCCACAGATCGACTCTGGAGCAGCCCCTGGAATTCCTCTGGTGAGAGGGCTGGGTGATCTCTAGCTGGCTGTCTCTACACAGGTGAGTAACAGAGAGGGAGTCATTTGGGCGCAAAACCCTTCATGTCAGGACATCTCACAGATGACCAGAGGTACCAGGGACTTCTGTGACCTGTGCTCCATTAGGAGGTCCAGGAGCTCTTGAGCACTGCTATCTCCATCAGCAGAATATTATCAAAGAATCCATGGGGCAATTCGGGTTGGCAGGGAGCTCCAAACATCTCCAGTCCAAACTCCCAATCGGCGCAGGCACAGCTTCAGGGTCAGAAAGGAAGCAAAGCTGCTCATCCAGTCTGCTGCTGAAAGCCTCCAAGGACAGATGTAGGACAGCATCTTTGGGCCTCTATTGCAATGACTGACTGTCCTTACTATGATTTTTTTCCTCTTTTTATCTGGCTTGAACCTCTCATTTCAACTCACACTTGTGTCTCATCCTCCCACTGCACCACGCTGTGAAAGCCTGGCTTCGTCTTCCCAGTTACGTCCTCATGGGCAGGGAAAGGCTGCTCATCTTGGGAAGAGCCAAAGCTCTGAAGCTGAACAAGCCTATTTTCCTCCTCAAGTATCACTGATCCAGCCCCAGCCACCCTGCTAGCTATCAGATGAATATTCTCCCCACTGTCAGTGCCTTTTTTGTGCTAGGGCCCCAAACTGGATTGGTTACCTAGATGTGGTTTAGCAAGTGCTGGGTAACCCCTCGAGGACACGGCCTATCACTGTCTAGAAAAGTCATCCCAGCACCCAACACAATGAACACTGGGAGGGACAGGTAGAGAAGGAGAAAAGACCAAAACAGAAACGCCAGGGGGTGTAATTCTGCACTGGCTCACAATATACGTGTGGAATCATGCTTTGCAGTCAAAGAGTCATAGGGTGCTTTTTTTTTTTAGTGCTAAATGGATCAGAATCCTTGGGGAAAGCCCACAGAATTATGTTTAGCTATGAAAAAAAAAAAAAAAAACAAAAAAAAAAAAACCTGTATTTTGGAAAACAGCATAAGGAAAATGTATTATTTCCATCAGAGAGAATGGAAGCAAAGAAAAGCAAGCAAATACCTCAGAAGTGCAGAGGTTCAAGAGCTCTCCTCCCTCACGGCTGCCAGGAGTGGGCACACAGAGGCAGCCGTGGTTCTTGTCCAGAGCAGCAGACCAGGGAGCCCTGCTCACTCTTGAAGCTTTCATCACTGTGTTGTCTTTGACGTGTGGTTTATCACTGTGGCACCTTGTCCAGCCACCAGCACCGCTGGCTCTGAGGATGCGTGGGATGTTTATGGGATTGCATTTGTGGGGTATTAAATTCCAGAGAGAACTTTATGCCTGTCTGTCCTCCTGTCCAGCACAGATCTTCTGTTGCACCAGGGCCGTCTTACATCTTGCCCCTAACTCCTAGTTGTGCTGAAAGAGGATGCTCACCCAGAGCACATGCTGCTTTACTTGAGGGCCTTCAGCTGGCAGGAAATACACTGGAGTGTGGCGTGATTTCTTCTGATTGCCAGCTAACACGGGAGGAAAAGCAGTGTCCTCTTTGTAGTCTGTATTTCTGTAGCTTTGGACTCTATGAAGCACATTTTGCTATAAGCTTTTCTCCTAAATTAAAGCACATTTTATTTCAAAATATTTTCATTTACGCAAGTTACAAGTAGTTTCTACCTGGGACTTAAAAGCAATTCCATCCCTTGTCATTTTTGTCAGATTCTGTTTTATTAGAGCTTGACAGGCAACATATTTTCATAAAAATGGAAACAATCTATACCTGCCTAATGTGATTGGAGAAGTGTGAATGAATTCTCCAGAGGCGCGCTATGGATCCAAACACTTTTCAGATGGCTGTGACATTGAGAAATGGCTCCTGCTCGTTCTCCATATGTTCCTTATTTTGTTTCCTTTTGTACTGAGAGAAAAATTAATAAAGGAAAATGAATGAACCATCCTGAAAATGCTGTGTTTTTTTTTACTAGCCATCCACTTCTCAGAAAGACTGTTAATAGAGCCACAGAGAAGGGAGGTATGATGAATCCTTCCTTAAGGAGCTTCTGGGTCCCTGATACATTTGTCCATTGTGGAGTCCCCAGGTCAACACGATCCTGAAGTAATAGCGGGCTCCAGTGAGAGCACACGGTGTCTGAATTCCTCTCTCCACCATGAGCAGGACCAAGTGCCACAGGTGGGGATGCACAGATTTTGCTGGTCTTCACTCAGCCCCAAGTACCTCACAGAGGAAGAGGAAAGAACCAAAGTCACTTGAAAAAGGGAGAGAAAAGGGAAAGGAGACATAAGGAGAGAGAAGTAGGGGAAGGCAGAACGCAAGGAAGGCTTGCATACAAATGGAGAGAGAACAGGAAGTCACTGGAGCACAGAATTGGCAAAGGAGTCAACAAGGAGTGACATGAAACCAGTGCAGCGGTTGGAAATGAACTATCAGTGTTGATATGTTCACTGATTGTTGGGATTGATAGAGTTTAAGACAGTCCAAAAGAAAAAAACAAAGGTTTCTTACAGAGATTTCTTACAGAAATTGACATGGCCAAAGATTTGATGCAGAAATGTAATGAGAAACTTCATCAAGAGGAAAATGTCCCTGGCAGTGACAGAGAAGGAGGCTTAGACTACCTTTAAGGCACCTGTCCAACCCAAATCAATCTTTGATGCTATACTGCATGGACACCACAGAAACAGCACAGGGAGGTACAGCGTGCCCCAGTGCAGAGCAAGTAACTCAACAAACTCTGGAAGATACTGTAAGAAAACAGATAGAAAACTGACCAAAGTTTTAGATCAAAACTGTACTACAGACGATGAGGTCATCAGCACTGAGGTGGATAAAAGTTGATTTCTTTTGTGTTTCTCTTTTCTCTCCCTAATTACATTACATGCTCATCGGCAGGGGAAATTCAGAACTCTGCTGAGATTTACCTGTAGCTTATAAATATCTCCTGGTCCCCACAGTGCCCAGTCCCTGCCTGGAAACCTGCACAAGGCAGGTGAGTATGGAGGGTTGGGGCAGAACTTGGCTGGTCTCGAGGCTCGCGCTCTCCCTGGACATGCCATGCCCTCCCTTCTTGCTGCTGCTGCCCCTCTCCCACACAAGTGACCACGGCCCCAGGGCAGTTGCTGAAGGCTCTTGCCAGGTCCCCAGCACTGCCCTGTCTGTGCTGCAGGGCTTCTCAAGCAATCCCTGTCCCCACCTATAGGGAAAATCCCGGGAGCTCAGCCAT